GTGTCAGAGCACACACACATGTAGGTGTGCACAGCACCAGGGCCCCCCCAAACCTGCCTGTCTTTGCTTCCAGAGGGTGTACCCGGTCCGTGCCCAGCCCCCCTGCAAGCAGCCGGTAAGCCATGGCCTCACTGTCCCTGAGAGTCCCCGTCCCCTCCCCATGCACTGGGAAGGGTGTCCCTGTACTTGTGCCCAGTAGGAGTAACAGGCCCCATTTGCCTTCACAGGTGGCCCCAGAGCCAGGCTGGGCAGCAGGTGAGGGCATTTCCCAGGTGTTCCAGGGGCTCCAGCCTCTTGAAAACACCTTTGTGAAGTCTTGCCTCCCTCCCTGGGTGTTGGGGCCATGTCAGCACCGGTCCCTGGCACTGCCGCTGGCTTTCACCCACTCCCCCCATGTCCCTGCAGGGCCAGCTCCCACGGGAGCACCCAGGCCCTGCACTGGGACACCTTGTGAGCCCCCACCTTCTCTGGGCTCTCCAGATGCCGACACCCGTCAGACGGAGCCATCGGACTGCCGCACTGATCCCCGGGTGTGTCCTGGCTGCGGCCATGGGTGAGCCCCCCCAGCTCCCCCAGGCCCCACAGCAGGGCCCTGACCCTCTGCATCCCCCCAGCGCCAGACGTGGGTCTTCAGGTCCAAGGAGCTGATGGTGAAGGCGAGCGGTGCCGTGCCCGAGGGGAGCCTGGTCTACGTGCAGGAGGGGAGCAGCGCCTTCCTCCGGACCCCCGCTGGCTGGAGCCGCCTCCTGGTACTGTGGAGATCCCTCGAGGGGCTGGGGGCACAGGATCCAGAGCTGGATTTGGCACTGGGGCAGCAGACCCCTGGGAAGGAGCAGGTTTCCCCTAACCTGTCCCTCTGCTCGTGTCACTGAGCAGCTGGAGGATTCGCGGTCGGTCTTGGCTGGTGACGACCCTTCTGCCTCCACCCCACGGTACCAGGTGAGGGACGTGTGAGCAGATGTGGGGTCTGCTCATGTCTCTGCAGGGGGATAGAGCCCTCCTCTGCCTGCCAGGGGGGACAGACACCATGAGACTATCCTCTCCCTCTTCATCCCCCTCTCCTCTCCTCTCCATCCAGGAGGCAAAGCGGGTGCAGACAAGAGGTCCCAACACAGTGTCACCTGTGCAGTCCCCAATGGACTCGCTGGTGAGCCCTACTTATGGTCCAGCTGTGCTGGGAGGGACATGCCATGGGGGTGGGCTGGATGTCCACAGGGCAGTGCCAGCCTGGCATGGGGTCATGTTGGTCTGGAGAGGGTGCCACCCACCCATGGCACAGGGATGGGTGTCCCCAGACTGATCTGAGCTGTGTTATTCCAGGTCCAGAAGGAGGAGGGACAAGGGTTGTCCCAAATCCCACCAACCACCATCGCCCCACGGATCCCATCTGTAAGGAATGCCTGACCCCGGGGGTGGGAGAAGGGGTAGAGGTGTCCAGGGGCCCCCCAGTCCTGGCCAGTCCCCCAGGAGCCTCCCACCCCCTGGGAAGGAGGGAGCAGAGCCCCAGCACCTCCCCACTGTCCCCCAGCTCCGCCTGGCCGCCCTCAATGTGCCCCTGTCCGGCGACATGAGCGGGATCCGGGGGGCCGACCTGCAGTGCTACCGGCAGTCCCAGGAGGCCGGGCTGTACGGCACCTTCCGGGCCTTCCTGTCGGCCCCCACCCAGGACCTGGTGTCCATCGTCAAGAGGACAGACAGGACCCTCCCCATCGTCAACCTGAAGGCAGGTACCCCCGTCCCCGGGAGGGGCTGCGAGTGACAACCCCCCCTCCAGCCCCCAGTGAGCTGTGGTGGGTGTGGGACCCCTGCCCAGTCCTGCTCTGGGGCTGCTGCACCCCGGCCGTGCTCCGTGCTTTTGGGGAGCTGCCAGAACAGAGAGCAAGTTACTGTCCACACGTGGTGGGGACAGGGGCACCCCCCTGGCCCCCAGCTCAGCACCATGACCTGTGCTCACAGGGGCAGCTGCTGGCCAAGTCCTGGAGCTCCCTCTTCGAGGGTCAACCTGGAGCCACCCCACGGGGTCCCATCTACTCCTTCAACGGGCGCAACATCCTGACGGATCCCCTCTGGTGAGTCCTGAACGGTTCCCCCGGTGTGGGAGGGGAG